GTGGGGATCACTGGGAATGCCAAGCCAGGCCCAGGGCCCTGCCCTGAAGCCTTCTCAGCCTGACCCCATCTGCCTCTGGTCATCTCCCAGGTTGGCATGTGGCAGATCCCCAAGGTTATGTGACCCCTGAACACTCCCTCCACACCTAAGAACTCTGCCAGGTCCTGGGTCTGGGGGCTCCGGCTCCTTCCCCACAATGCCAGCTGGTTGGTCTTGGCTCTGGCTGGGTCCGGAAGAGGCCACATCTAATGGGGTATTTCAGGCTCAGGGAGAGAGGGCTGGGGGAGTCACTGTCCCCTCAGCCCCTCCCTCACCCAGGCCCTCTGGAGCCCCGCTGGCTCCCATCACCTGAGGGCAGTGCCTGGGCTCTTCTTCCTGAGCAGCCCCACCATCACGGCTGCTGTCCTCCACACCCACCTCAAGTGGCTGGGCTCAGTGGTGTCAGCTGTCCACTGAGTATCCCCTTCTGCTGGGGCCACCCTGTCCACCCTGTTCCTGGTCTCCCCAGACCTGGAAACACAGCAGCTCCCAGTACAAGCTCCTGCCTATCCTCATAGGCCTGAGTCCAGTGGGAGTTGCAGGGCCCCTACTGTCTGAGGCTGGCAGGATCAGGGCCTCTATCAGCTTGGGCCCCCGGGGAGGTGGCATGGGTGGCCTGCTCCCTTCCATCAGGCTRGAGCAAGGCAGAGAGGAGCCAGTCTCCCAGTGCTGTGGGTTTATCCTGGGCATGCCACAGATGCCCAGCCCAACGTGCCCAACTCTGGGCTGCCCTCCATGGGGGTCTGGTACAGTTCCAGAGGCTCCCAGGGGGCCTCACACTGTGTTGTGACTGCCTGGGTCTTTGTTCCCAGAGCCAGCCTTCCCCAAGATCATGGGAACAGCGGTCCATTAAGGGAAATCCTGTGTAGCACCAAGGCCATGCCTGGATTGGCTCACAACTGACTGCCAAAACGGCCCCTGCCAGCACTCAGGCACCTTCAGGTTGGGGTTGGAGAGTCGTGCTGGTAACTGAGCTCCAGCCAGAGTTCACTTCCTGGTGCTCCCAAACCAGGAGCAGTAGCATCTAGAGACCACCTGCACCACCCTGGCTGGCAGCCCCTTGCTCCTGGAGACACTCCTGCAGGTGTGGTCCCAGTGAGCCTGGCTGCCACAGGTGCTCAGGCCTTGAGCCACCTGAAGGCCACCCTGTCCCATTGGACTACAGTCATGCACTTCTCAAGACAGAGGGCTCCCTGGGGTGGGCAGAAATCCTCAGAATCCCAGGAGGGGCCTTGAGAGGACATCTGAAGCCCACTCCCAGGCCCACAGCTGTCCTTACCACAGGGCGAGTAGACAAATGCCCTCTAGTCTTAGCTCAAGGCTGCACCCACACCCAGTCTGTCAGGGAAAAGGCCACTGTGCAACTTCCCTGGCYTGCAGGCTCCTCATGGGCCCCAACACTTAGAAGCCCACCTTCAAGTGGCAGCTGGCACCTCTGCAGACTGCAGCAGGGCTCGCCTCACACAAAGCCTGCCCGGCCTCACCCTGGGTCCAGTAGAGACCTGCGCTCCGAGTCACGTTCTTCTCAAACATAACTTTATTTTTGCTGCCAGCTGCTTTGCTCAGCCTGTCCCAGGCAGAACTTCCCAGGGACTTGTGCCACATCACAGTGCAAAATGGCCCCTGAAGCCAGGCTGCCAGGGAAAGCAGCCCACCAGGGGGATTCTGATTGAGAACTGAACTGGTATCTGAACCTTCCTGACACCAGTGTCAAGGTGGAAGCCAGGACTTCTCAGGGGCCAGGGAGAACCTGGTTTTCCAGCAGTCAAGGTATCAGCTTCAGGTCCTAACCAGGCCACTGGGGACATGCGGTTTGCCCTGCGTGTCTGCCYCACGAAGATGCAGCCAAGTCTCAGCCCGGGGATGGTTGGGGCTATTGAGTGCTGTTACTAACAAGAGCCTAGGACGGAGAATGCAAGGGACTTCCAGCTCAGACCAGGCCTCATGGTGACTTGGGAYGAGGATCGTGGCCTGTCACAGGGAATGGCTCACATCCACTCTGGGAGGAGAGTCAGCTGCCCCGTGGCCCTCTGCCCGCTTGGGGCTCTGCAATCGATGCAGGGCCTCCACCTGTTGCCGTTTCTGCTTGGCCCGGGTAATGACCGTGCGGAAGAGCCTGCAGAAGAGCTGGACAGACGGTGGGGAGTCGTCGTTGCCAGGCACGGGGTAGGTGATGAGGCAGGGGTTGCAGTTGGTGTCGACGACACCGACTGTAGGGATGTTCATCTTGGCTGCGTCCCTCACAGCCACGTGGGGCTCGAAGACGTTGTTAAGTGTGTGCAGGAAGATGATGAGGTCAGGCAGGCGGACCGTGGGGCCGAAGAGGAGCGGGGCATTGGTCAGCAGGCCACCCTTGAAGTAGCGGGTRTGGGCATACTCGCCGCAGTCCCGGGCTGTGTTCTCGATCAGGTGTGTGAACTGCCGGTTGCGGCTCACGAACAGAATGATGCCCTTTCGGTAGGCCACATGGGCAGTAAAATTCAAGGCTAGTTGGAGGTGTGAAGCTGTCTGTTCCAGGTCGATGATGTCCTGGTCCAGGCGGCTCCCGAAGATGTAGGGCTCCATAAACCTGCCACAGACCCCATCAATGGTCAAAGGTCACCCCTGCGCACCTGTCTGGGCACCTGGGCTGGGAGGCACAAACCGCATCTACTTCCCTTGTGGAACTCTGTCCAATGATTGACAGGTCGGGGCTCAGGGCTGCAGAGGCCCCTCAGGACCTCGGCATGTTACTACCAATCCTACGCCCCGCCTCTTTCCACAGGGAGCTGGGTAGGATGGACCCAAGTGAAGGTTTGGATGTTCTATAGTCAAACATCTGACCAGTTCCTGCTCATCTCCACAGCCTTGGAGGCCCTGCTCCATCCAACACTGGCTGGAGGCCCTTAACCTCCCTGGCCTACCTGGGAACCTGAGAGCCTTCACCAGCTAGCAGGACTGACCCAAGGTTGCAGGCTCCCTCCAAGACACACAGGAGAGTTTAAGTGCCCTCAGGGGGCTTGCGGAATCCCACCAGTAGCAGCCAGGCCCCTGTCCAGGTCAGGAAGGCCCTGGGCCCTCCTGGGAACCACCCCTGGGATACCCTGGCCAGGCGCTTCAGCTACCTGTGCCGACAGCCAGCTTTGTGTCCCAGGTGCACGCGGGCATCAAAGAGGCTTTTCACTGAAAACAGCTCCTTGACGTTGAAGAAGTCAGAGTGTCTGAGGGGCTCCTCCAGGATCTTGCGGTGGGTTTCTAGGGCAGGGAGGGCAGGAAGCTGCGGTTTCCCACTGGGCCCACCCAGCAATCAGCGATCCCTGAGTGGAGGCCACAGGGCTGGGGGGTTCTGGGAGAAGCCCAGCAGCCAAGATGCACCCAGCCCCAGGAGATCCCAGGAAGCCATAGTGGCCTTCACAGCAAACAGAGCTGGACCCGGATTCTGAAGGAGATCCAGCTTGTGGGTAATCCGGGTCACTACCATCCCGTGTCTGGGGTCCCTGTGGCCCTCCCAGCCACCAGGCCTGGCACACAGACTCAGGTCCGTCGCCARAAATCCCCCTGCATTAACCCAGCAAGGCGGAAGGCCTGGTGCCCAGGGGGTCCCCGGGCCACGTGACCAGCACAGGCTCCTAGCCTCAGGCCGCTCCCTCCGCCCCGTCCGGCCAGCGGTGGTCCCGCGCGGCTGCAGGAGCGGCTGGAGCCAGCGCGAGCCGCAGGGCGCCGCGCCTCCTCGCCTCCCCGCCGCCCTCCGGGGCTCGTTACCGCTGTCCTCGGGCTCGCTGGCCGCGGGGGCCGGGATGCCCGCGAGCGTCCTGCCGGGGCCGGCCGTCTGCAGCCATCCGGGCCAGCGCCTGCCGGGCCGCGCACCTGCGGAGAGAGAGCCTGCTGACGCCGCGCCCCCAAGCCTCAAGCCCGGTCCCCGCCGGGCGCGGCCACTCACCCGCGCGGAGCAATCGGGGCAGTGCGGACGCCATGGCGGCGGGCTCGTGGGCGGACGAGCGGACGGGCGCACGGCGCRCCTCCCTCGCCGTGCGGGGCCGCAGCGCCACCTGCAGGCCCGGAGGACCCGCCACCGCCCGCCCGCAGACAGACCTCTGGGAGGCGCGTGTCCCGGCGGAGGACGATTCTGCGTGGGCGCGCTTGGCGGGGTGGGAGCGGGATGGCGTGAGGGTTCCTGCGCCCCCACCCCTGTGGACAAGGCGTAGCGAACCGGTCCCTGGCCCTGCTGCTCGACCCCGCACTGCAAAAGTGCAGGGCAGAGGACTGGGGTGCAGCTCAGTGGAAGAACTTGCCTAGCGTGCATAAGCACGGGGTTCATCCCTAGTCCCCCCCTAAAAAAAAAAAAAAAGGTAACAGTGCAGACCGAAGAGGCCCACATCTCTCGTGGGACCCCTTGGGCGATGCGGACCCTCGACCTCTGCTCCAAGTCCAGAGCAACCTCTTGTTCTCCAAGATCGTGTTTAATATTTAAACAATATGTGATTCCGTGAACTTAGGAAAGTCTTGGGTCTAAGTTTGGGTAGTGGGGGCGCGGGCTCACCGGATTACCCGGGTCAAGGAGCACCCCTGGTGTGTACAGTAAGCACCAAATTGTTGTTGCTTGCCACGTGAACGTTCGGCACTCAGACCCCATCAATTTGCTGGTGAAGTCCCAGGGCCTGTGGTTTCATCCAAAGCGCTTGCTGCTGCATTTGGGGAGAATACCGCGGTGCTCCGGAGAGTCCCAGGAAGACACCCAGAGCCCTGCCCCCGCAGCGGGCTGAAGGCTTAGGGCGTCTCTGAGGACGGTCCGAGCGGAATTCCTCCCCGTCGTGGATCCGTCCGGTCCTCGATCATTCGCCCAGGGAACGTTCTAGACCTGCCTGCCCAGGGGCCATGGCTCTTCCTGTGGCGCTTTTAAGGACTGGACGTCCGGGTCAGGTGACACCGTCGCCTAGCAACAGGACGCTGCGCCCGCTGCCTGGGCTTCTCCTGCCCAAAGTCGGCTTCTGCTAGAGGCCAAATGTCGGAGGAAAACCCCCTGGAGTGCGCAGAGCCCGCTGAGCCGAAGGCCGCGACGCCCCCGGAGAAGACCAGCGACTACTATCGCGTGAGCCCCCACCTGCCGGTCAGGTTCAACAACCCGGGGTGGTTTCGCGGCTATGGGTAAGGAAGCAGGGCTGGTCCAGGTCCACTGTACAGGCACACGGAGAGGCCCTGCCTCGGATGCACGTGCCATGCCACAGCTGGTTCTGGGGCTGGGCTCAGGTAGTCCTGGATGAGAAACCCCACCCTCCCCAAAGACCCTCAACTTCCTGCTACGGAAGTCAAAAGGAGCCTGAGCTCGGCCTGAGCCTTGCTATCATTACCAGCAGTGAGCTCCTCAGACTGCCCGGCCACGGTCAGTACGGTGGGGGATTGTGGGGGATTGTGGAGACCCTGCAGAAAGAAAAAACTCATTCTGGTTCCAGTTCCACAGTCTTGTGCCCCGGGGTCTCCTCTCCTCCCCTCCTGCAACTGTAAGATGTCAGCTCTGCTGTGGGGACTGTCCCGGGGCCCTGAGGCTCAAGGACATAACTGGAAACTGAATTGCTGCAGGGGAGGTGAGGCACCCTCTGCCCCCACAGTTTCCCGTGCCCCATTCTCGATGGAGACCACTGCCACCTAGAGACCTCTAGTCTCCCAGGCCTCTAGTGTGGAGTTCAGCTGCAGCCTACAGTAGGCAGGTGGTGTTCCCTGGCCACATTCCTTCTTCTGCACCTGGGCATCCTGAGAGTGAACCTGCAGCCAGGGACCCCCCGGAGGCAGGGTCTGATGCTGACCTGTGGCTCCCAGCAGGGTAACGAACCTACCCAACCAGTAATAGTTCTACCAAGGTCTATCAGGAACTTGCTGGTGGAGTGCTGTTTAGGAGTTGGAAGGAATAAGAATTGTGGCCAGCAGAGGAGGTCAGAGAGGCAGGCCTATCAGGGCTTCAGCCCTGTGTGTGATGGGGGCCAGTGTTCATGCTGTGTTACTGGCCCGGGCACACTGCTCTCCTTGGGGGCATTKCCAACAAAGCTCTATCAGGCAAATCCTGTAGGGCTGTGGTGTGGGCAGACTTTGAATGAACCAGGGGAACCATATCTGCTCTGYAGGGCCAAGGAGGTGGTCTCCCTGTACAGGACCAGTAACCAGGCTTACGGGAGCAGAGCACCCACTGTGCATGAGATGCCGGTAAGTGGGAAGCAAGTGGCATTTGGGGATGTGTCTATAAGAGGACAAGCCTTCGAAAAGGCAGCACATCGTGAGGGTGAGGGGTAGAGATGGGGGACCCCAAGGCATCTCAGACCATGTTGGAGCAGGGAGGAATAGAAAGAGGTGAGTGGATGGACTCACGAGAAAAATGTCTTCAAAAACAGGAGGAGTGCAGGGTGTGCTTCTTCATTGTCCTTGTCCCTGTGGATAAAACCACGCCTGCAGGTGCCATCACAGGTGCACACAGCCATTTCCCCTAGGCGGTCAGTTCTGAGGCAGGTGACTGAAGAACTCCTTTCTCTCTGGTCTTAAACCTTGTGTGAAGCCCTCACCTGTGACCGAGAGGCAGCACTGGCCAGGAGCCGAGGCTGCAGGAACTGGGTGCGTGGGCAGGCACAGGGTGGTGCCTCTATGGGAACTGCCAGACAGGCCTGTGTAGCAGCCCTGCGCCCCCAGGTCACCAGGGCCACTGTTTGGGGTGAGAATGTCATGGGGCCCCCATCCCCATGGTGTGAGAAGGCCTGGGAGTCACGGCTTTGGTGGCGGTGTGAATAACAGAGCTCTTGGGAGAAAATGATTTGCCAAAAACGTTTCTGGGACACTCAGGAGTCACCCTCCCGGAAACAAGGACTCTGATGTTCCCCTGGGGCTCAGTCATTTTGATGAAAAAGAGACACATTCAAGGGGATCCAGATGTTTCAACTTTAAAAAAAAAATGCTATTTAAAAAAATGCTCCTCTCGTAAACTGTGAGTTCTGTGTCCACCGGTGCCACCCAGCCACGGGTTATGGAGCACCAGGGGATAGAGACAAGTTTCTGCTTTTTGTGGTGCTGGGGATCCGACCAGGGCCTTGGGCATGCGAGGCAAGGACTCTACCAGCTGGGCTGTGTCCCAGCCCCAGGGTGAGTTTTGAGGGAGGTCTTCCTACTTCTCCACACGGGCGGTCTGGCCCGTTTTTCACCTTCTGGACCAAATGTGGAGGCTGGACTCCTTGAGCAGCTGGTGATCACCTTCCTTGTCTGGGTAGAAATGAAGGTGCTCTCCATCTTTCTAAACTGCAGGGAAGGGATTTATGTGACAGGGATGGTGGATACGTGTGTCAAACCCACAGAAGGGTCTGGAGAGGGAGCCTGAGGCACACTGCAGACTCTGGTTGATGACAAAGTATCGATTCTGGCTCACTTGTACAGATGGGGACGTGCCCAGGTTAGCTGTGCTTTGCCGTGGCCAACATGACCTGCATGACAACTTAGAGGAGCAAAAGTTGATTTTAGCTCATGGTTTCAGAGGTTCGGTCCATGGTTGGCCAGCTCCATGGCTCTGGGCCTGAGATAGAAGATCATGGTGGAAGGAAGTGCCAAAGGAGAGCTGGTGGGCTCATGGCAGCCAGGAAGCAGAGAGGAGCCAGGAGAAAACACAGTTCCTAGGGACACACCCCAGTGACCTATTTCCTGTCACCTCACCCCATTCCCACCTGGAAGTGCATTCAATCTATGAATCCATGGAATGGATTAATCCACTGGGTCACAGCTCTCATGATCCCATAATGTCACCGTGGAACATCCCTGCATTGTCTCACGTAAACTTTTGGGGGACACCTTGTGTCCAACCCATAKCAAGGGGGAACTGTGTGTACTGGTGGGAGGCAATTTGGCAACTCCCTGTAGTTTCAGCYCAGCTTTCTGTAGATCTAGATCTTCTCTTTAAAGTCTTTTAAAAATGTACAGAAGCTTCTTGCACTTTCTTCCTGCCAAGGAGTCAAACATGGACCGTGAAGGATGGTCACCTATTTAGGGTATAACACCGGGTGGAGAGGTCTCAGGGCCACCTGATGATGCCATCCTGCTGGGCCATTCCTKCCCTTGGCCTTGGTGGGCGCCCCTCCCACCTGGTGGTTGGGGGTGTGGGCACTGGACAGTTTTAGAGCTCTGCAGATGGTTTTGATTCAGTTTGTGTGAATTCCCCAGAATCCATGTGTTAAAGGATGGTGGCAGGTGCACTGCTGGAAAGGGCAGAACCGTCAGGAGGTGGGGCCCTACCGGAGACCTTCAGGTCCCTGGAGGGGGCCTCTGAAAAGGGTCCCCTCTCCTGCTGCCTGGCTGCTGATGTGAGCAGCTTGTTCTGCCCATGCTCCTGACCATCAACATCCTGCACCCCCACCAGAGGCCCAAAGCCATGGGTCTGCCTCGTCATGGACCGGAATTCCAGAAAAGTGAGCTGGAATAATCCTTTCCTCTTTCTAAGTTAATCATCTCATGTATTTTGTTAGTACATCACAAAACTGACCAAGACACCTACTGACAGACGTTATTTTATTCCACAGAACACTGAGGTTCAGAGAGGCCCAGTAACTTGTGCAGCACAGCACCGTTGGGCAAAGCCGACCCGAGGGCCAATCCAGACTTTTTAATGCTCATGGTCACACACAGATGTGAAAATACCTCAGTGAGGTGGCCCCATGTCTTCTTCTTCCTCCTAGGTGATGGTGAAAGAAATCTCAGATGACAAGGGCCCCAGACACAGGCATAAACCACGGTGCTCAGAGCCCCACCCTGCCTCTCAGCTTCTGAGGGACGGAGATGGCACTTTTCTTTCAAATTCTTCTTCCAGAATTGCCTGCCCGCCTGCTCTGGAGGACGACGGGGGGCACTGGTCCTCACGTTCTCTTCTCTCTCCCAGAAGGTGTTCTATCCATGTTCCACCAAGTTCTCCAGACACCTTCTGGCGAGTGAGAAGTTCCAGCACAGTGCTTTCAAYGTCTGCATGGAGAAGAGCCTGGTGACGGGCCCCGACAACTACATCACCCACTGCGACCGGCTCAACTTCCACCCCAGTTACAACGTCAGGAAGCCGTCCATCTGTGACTGAGGGGCCCAATGCCCCTGCCTTCCCGTCTGGCCGCTGCCCCCTGGAGCATGGTGCTCCCTGATCTTTGACGGTTTGCCCAACTCTGAAGGTGCAGATTTCACTGTTTTCTCTGAAAATACTTTTCCTTTCTGGAATAGAAAAGTGTGCAATAGGCTTGGTGCTGTTTTTTTCTATTTTACGTCTAAACACACACAGAAAACTGTATGACTTGGCTTCCCACGAAAACGCTGCCCGGCCTGTTTCCAACTCTCCTGACGTCTGTGATGAAGGTGCAGGCCGTGGGTGTCCTGGGACCCTATCTGTCCTGAAGGCTGGGAAGGCTTGGGCAGCCCACTGGGGTCTTCTGGGGCGGGGCGGCRGGGGGGGGGCACTGTGACACACATTACCAGCTGGGCCCCCACGGCCTGGCCCTGGGGAGCGTGGGCCAACCCTCCCTGGGTGTGGCGTAGACGGGACCAGGACTCGAGAAGAGCAGCACCTCTTTAGCAGAGCTCAAGAGGGTATCACTGGGATCTGTTCAAGGTGAACATCCTGAAGCCATGAATCAGGGACAGGCAGGAGCAGAGGTGGACCAGGGTGGGCCACCCTCAGTCTTTGGGTGACAGGGTTCTCTGTATTAATTTAAAAATTTCAATAAAAAGTGAAGGCAGTCGGGGAATAACCAGTATTTTCCTGAGGGAGGGGAAATAACTACATTGATCTTTATATCTCTGTAGTCCCAAATCAGTGTTTACCATGGCCATAGGTCTGCAGTAAGAAAAACATCTGTTTCTTCTTTCTGCAACAGGATAGGTCTTTCACACACAGTTTTACTTCCTTCTTAAGARTCAGGGAATTTGGAAAATACGGGATCTAAAAAGACGACACTGTCACATGCCATCCGTAAGAGCTGTTTCACAGCACATTTGCCGCAGGGACCCTCTTCCTTTGTAAGTAAGGGAGAAACTGGACCTTACAGCTGGCTGTTTCTTCAGAATGCACGCACCACTGTTAAAACACAAAAGGGAGCATCCGGCAGCCTCTGAACGTCCAGTAGGGATTGGAAGTGGTTTCCAGGGAAAATCAATGTGGTCAGGAGAAAAGATAGACGGCAGTGCCTGAAGCCGGGTCTGAGCTGGAAAACCCACAGTTCAGTGTCAGACCAAAAGTACGTTTTACAGTCTTTAAAAATGCCCCAATGCTAAGAACCCTTCTGAGTTTGGCCTCCACTGAAGTAAAAAGGTGAGGCTGCTCGGCCTTGCCAGCCAGGTTTCTAACTTGCTGGCAGGGACCGAACCCAGCCTCCTGGTGACTCCAAGGAGCAGGCTGGCAAGTCCAGGTGCCGCGAAGCTTTGGGAGCACCCGCCTGCTGCCACAGCACAGCTGTCCAGGAAAACAGGCCGCTGGGAAAGCCACGGCACTTGACCACACCCTCGATTCCAGGCTGAGGGCAACGTGGGGACCTAGGCTGGGGTGAGGGGTCTGCAAATGATGTGTGGCGGTCCAGGTCTGAGCTCACCCGCAAGCTTCACGGATTTGACCGTGGCATCACAACTGGGCACAGAAATGCTTCACTGGCTGTGCCCAATGAGTGTGGCYTGTTAACAGCTGCTGTATGAACGCAAAGTTGGACTCTACAGATTATTCTAATAACTGCCTGAAAAGACTAAAGCCCCAGATAATTCCAATCTAACTCACGTTTTGTCTTAGTCTGTTTTCTGTTGCTTTAACAAAATGCCTGATGCTGGGAGACTTATAAAGAATAGAGGTTTACTTGACTCAAAGTTTTAGAGGTTTATGTCCACTGTGTGAAAACAAGTGAGCCTGTGGGAACAGAATCACTGTCACCTGACTCTGAGGGGCCTGAGTGGTTGCCGAAAGCRTAAACAGGAGGTTAGGAGGCAACTTCCATCATCTCAGGAGCAAGACTGGAACCCACACGAGGAGCCAGAGGACGCCTGCACAGCTCACCCACGCTCCTCCATCGTCAGGGCCAACTTCCAGCGTGCAGACAAGCCACTCCCCCTGGTGACCACAAAGCCTGGCCCCAGAGGCAGCAGGGAGCAGCTGAGCAGGAGGCCTGAGGATAGCAGCAGGAGTGACCATGGAGGATGGGGTTCTGAAGCGTGCTCCCCAGCACACACGTGGCCGGCTGCGCTGTGCACCAGTGTGCCTGGCCTGTCACCGGAGGCAATGCCACACCTGCACGGGCCTGTACCTGTGTCTACACCCATACCTGCGCCTACCTGCATGCACACGTGGGGTGTGTTGATCACAGCCGACGGCAGTGTTTTCGAGGTGCTGTCTCCCCAGGGTGGCAGCAGCTCTAGCCTGCACTGTGCAGGGGCTTGGTGCAGAGGACCCCAACCTCCGGTGAAAGCGAGCCGGGCTCCTGGGTGAGGGAGAGGCTGGACACTGGCCTCGCCAGGCAGGGGCTGGCAGCAGAGTGGAGAGGACCTCAGGGCCAAGTGCAGGGTCCGGCCCCTCGGGGTCCTCGCGCCAGCACACGGCACAGGCCAGGCCCTCGCTTAGACTGCAGTGAGGACAGACCACATGACCACAAGAGGTGACTTGTTGGTGATGCTTGATTTATTCATTAAAAAAAAGTTCTTATGTACAAAATGAGCTGATGTTTGTATCCAGGAGTTAAAAGCACTCTTTAAAAAGTTAAATAAAAGTCAGGACATGGATTACATGGAGCGCTTAAGTGAAGGAACACACCACAAGGAAGCTATCACACGCACATCGGGATGCTCAGGACCGCAGCTTGGCCCAGCAGAGGCTCACCCTGGGTGGGGTCTGCCCCTGGGCACAGAAGTGGGTTCCTATTTACACCCGGGGGTACAGGGGGCGTAGAAGACTCACATCCACGTTAGAGTACCAACATCACCGGCTAAGGGTACACTGCCTCACAGCTGAACCCGAGTCGCAGAACTTGGGGTGACYGGAGGGCATCAGTGGCCAGCATGGCCTGTCCCCACAGTGGCCATGGGTACCTTGGTGCCACTGGGCAGAAGGTAAGGAAACCAAGGCAGCAGCATCACTTGGCCCTGACCCAGGGACCAGAGGCCATGGCCTACAACCAGCGCCCTTCTGCCCCAGGAGGTGGGCTGCAGGAGGTCATCGGCAGCACTGGCTGGGCCACTGGTCAGACCCTGACTGGCTGCAGCTCCTGGACGGCAGGTATGGAGGTATGCAAGGCTTGTCCCCAGCACTGAGCTCTGGCCAAGGTGTCTGGGGACCAAACCACCTGATTGCTGTGCTTATTCACTCRTGTGCACAAATCAAGAAGAGGACAGTTAAACGCTCATACAGTGTGATCTCTTGGACCCACGATCGAGAGGACAGAACTCTCCAGGAAAAGAGATTTACTTAGATGTTAGAATCACCTGGTGACTGCAGGAGCCTGGACACTGGAGGACTGGGCTGCAGAGTGTGCCACTGTCTCAGTGGGGTCTTGCGAGGCCAGGACTGGCCGGTCAGTTCACTTGCTGGCCACTGTGCTTTGAAACATTTTACTGACCCAAGCTGTGATGGCAGTGTTGAGAGGAACTGCTCTGGCTGCTAGGGACCAGTGAGTTCTTTATGAAAAGCACTATTCCGGGAGCTTCGGACAGACACGGGCATTTCAGGGCTTCCCAGAGGGTGGCCACTGCCTCCCAGGCTTGAACATCTAAACCAGCAACTGGCTAGAGTCCTGGCCAAGGTGACCCTCGCTGTGACAGTAAGAACCAAAATGTGTGCTCATCTGTGGCTCCATGCAGACCACAGAACGCTGCAGTTAGGAACACCCTTCAAAATCAAGACGACATTTTCCAAAAATATTTTTTACAGCAGTATAACTAATTTACAAAAAGCTACAAAAATCATATTTACCAGGACACGTCTGTTAAATAAACCTCCTGTTAGTGTACACATGTACAGGGCTATGTACAGGACGCTGGCTGCACTCTCCTGCGCACGCGGCTCTGCACCAGGGGCGGGCCAGGCTGCGCGTCACAGCTTGAGGACTCTGCCCTTCACCACTGAGCCACGGTCCTCCAGGGAGCTGTCGCTGCATTCACTGGCATCGCTGCCCAGCACCTCCTGGTCCTGGTCATCCCTGTCCACCACCCTGTGGCCATACCTCAGGTCCAGGATGCCTTCCTCTGAGCCCAAGTTCCTCTTGTCCTGCAAACCGAGCCCTGCCCGGGCTTTCCTGCTTGGCCAGTGCCCACTGTCCTTCACGAGCAAGTGTGGGCTTCCAAACACGGGGCTGTGACCAGCCTGGGTCTCTCTGAAGGCCGAGAAGGACGGGCCCTGCAGAGGCAGACCCAGGTGGGGACTGAAGAGGCCGGCCTGCTGGCCTCCCCAGGGGACGCTCTTCCCAAAGTGGAACAGCTGGGTGGACAGCAGGGGAGAGAAGCCTGGAAAGGACAGGTTCTTCCTGGGGTCCAAGGTGAGGCTGTGCRGGACCCTGGCCTGCCCCTGGGTCCCCTTCTCTTTCTCACCCCCAAGGCCCCCGGTCCATGCTGAACTCCGACCTTCTGAATTCAGTGACCATGGGCTGGGCAGCCTGYTGTGGTGGGCCAGGTCACTCCAGGGGAGGGCCAGCTCGGCCTGAGGTCCTGGGCTAGGGGACAATAAGCTCCGGCTCCCATAGTTGACATGAAAGGTTCCCCCGGAGCTTCCGGTCTCAGCTCCTGCTGTGGCACAGCTGGGCAGCTGACCAAAAGCACTTTCTGTGGCTGCGGGCTCAGCGCGGGGTGGGCTCTGGTCTTTGTGAACATAGACATTTCTCCTACTTGCAGGACACCCTTTGGCAGAGGGGTTCCCACTGGCACTCCTGGGCAGTGTGGGCTCACACCTGCCTGCAGCAGCCGGGTGGTGGGAAGTGTGCTCGGTGCGGGCTGCGCCCTTCCCGCCGGGGATGAAGAGGCTGGGGGCACACGGTCCCCCAGCCTTCTCTGTGCCCCTTAGTCCTTCAGCCAGTGGAGGGCCGCCCCTGGCCCTCTGGCTCCGTGTGCACACGCCGGGCTGCAGACTGGGGGCCAGCTCCTTCCTGCAGGGCTCCTCCGGCCGGGCTGGGCCCCCTCCTTGAACTGCTGAACTGCTCACGGACTCCTTAGCCTTTTCTGCCAAAAACTTTCTTATCTCCAGTTCGATGCTGTCGTCACTGTCCACTGAACTGTCCTCAGACAGGGAGCTGGGGGCAGAGCACGCATGGTCACGGGCTCCTGTTTCCTTGGAGAATGGAGTCCCTTCAGGCGGTCTCCTCCTGGACTGGAGAGCTGGGGCTGCGTCCTTGCCCCCCAGCTTCCTCCCCTCTCCTGGACCACTGAAGGCACTGGGCGGTCGTCTCCCCAGGCACGCCCTGCTGTCCCTTCTGGACGTGGACAGGCAGCTCCTCAGCACCCGYGGGCCTCTGTCCTTCCAGGCTCTCGGGAGGCCTCCCAGCGTGTGCACCAACCGTGTCTCGGGGGTGCTGAACCTGACCTTCTTCCTGCAGGCTGCCCGGGGATCCCTGCACCTCTTCTTGAGCTTCCGCTTGGATCTCAGCAGGTCCTTGATGGCCGTGTCGAGGTCCTCGTCACTGTCCAGAGAGCTGCTCTTGTCCTCGGAGCTCTCTCTCTCACCAACGCTCCTGCCTTCTCCTGCCTTCCCCTGAACCCCAAGGCCTTGCGACACGCAAACGTCACTGAGCAGGAAAGGCCTGGAGGGCACAGGCTGGCTCCTGGCCTGGCACTCCCTGCCCGGGGCCTCGCCGGCGTTCGCCTGGCTGGGGGGGTCCTGCCCGCTGTGGCCAGGCTGAGCCTGCCCCTGGCTGCGGTCGCCGTCCTGGGCACTGTCTTTCACCTCCCTTGGTTTCTTGGGGGTGGACATCCTCACGGCATTGGCTCCACCTCTGCGTTTCCTTCTGCAGCTTAGGGGCAGGTCTGGGGGTTTAGAGAGAGGGGCCTTGGGGACACTGGTCTGGCTGCTGGGGCCTGGTGGGGAGAGGGGACCTGGGGTGGGCTGTGGGCAGTTTTCGGCTCTGGCCAGCAGACTTCCCGACTGTGCCTTCAGAGCCAAAAACGTCCGGATCTCCTGCTCTATGCTGTCGTCACTGTCCACGGAGCTGCTGTCCCCATCAGAGCGGGAAGGCACGTTGGGGAGGCAGAAGGGGGGGCCTACAGACGTGGGCCCGCTGCCACCCTCCACAGGCGCCGGCAGGATGGTCTTGGAGATGTCCAGGATGGCTTCAGCGCACATCAGCTCGGCCGAGGTGTCTGCGCGGCCCGAGGCCCGTTCCCAAGGCCCGCTGCTGGTGGTGGTGCCTGCCGGAGGTACGGCAGCCCTGGCATCCCTGGGTGGCTTGGAGAGGTGGTCGGAGTCCAGGCCCCCTGGGCTGGGGTCTGTGGCCCTGGGGACCGCCGGCTTCCTCCTGCTCGGAGTTCTCCTGGGGGTCTCGGGGAAGGCACTTCTCAGTGAGCTGCCCGGGCTGCTGGCGGGAACGTCGGGCCCCTTCTCCTGGCTGAGCTGGGCTCCCGGTGGCGGGTCCCCGCTGGCCTCCTTCCTGGTCTTCTCCAGCTGATACAGCTGGATGGCCTCCTCGATGCCGTCGTCGCTGCTGGAGTCGGAGGCCTCGTGCTGGGGGGCCACACCCCTGCCGCGGCTGCCCCTTCTTCCAGCTCCGCAGTTCCTCTTGCCCCCGCCCCTGCTCTGTGCTGCCTGGGGCTTGGGGGCGGCAGGCCTTGTGCTGCCCAGGTTCTCGGGCTCAGTGGCGACCTTTGGCCTGAGGCTGCCGGGCGCTGTGCTGCCCTTTGCTGACCTGGGAGGTCTGCGGAAGACAAACTCCTTACAGGCGCCCATCAGACTGTGGCGGGGCGGCGCCCTGACGGGGGGCTCCTGGGTGGGTTTCAGGGTGGATCGGGCTGGACTTTCACTGGGGTCTGTGCTCTTGTCCACGGACCCGTCGCACTTTTGGTTTCCGTGTTGTCTTTTCTCATTCAAAAACTGCTCTATTTCTGCCCGGATGCTCTGCTCAAAGGAGTCCTCACTGCTCACACTGACGGGTGAGGCTGAGCCCTGGTCCCCGCCGGCCTCCCCAGGGCTGCCAGGAACACTGGCTGACACTGGGGCAAGTTTTGGGGGACACAGGGCGGGCGGGGTGCCACTGTGTGGAGGCTCTGGTTTGCCTCTGCTGCCCCCACCTGCGGCCCCGCCAGGCTGGGCCCCCCTGGGCATGGGCTGTGCGGCACCACTCTTGGCCTTCAGGTACTCCTGGATGGCCTCCTCAATGTCCCGGTCCACAGAGTCGTCACTGTCGGAATCCAGCGCCAGCGGGCCAAGGCTGGCAGCTCCCTCCTCGGCTGGGGGGTGGCGATGGGCAGCAAGGCCACAGGCAGCAAAGGCAGGCGGCGCGCTGCGCAGGGCAGGGCTGGCAGCCAGCCTGCCCTCCCGGCACCCCTCCGCCCGCTGGCTTCTCTGCGTGGCACGCTCATCGTGCGTGCCCAGGGCGGCCTCACCGCGCTGCAGCGTGCTGATGACCATCTGCACCCTGGCACTCACCGAAGCTCTGGCGACAGCCTCTTCCGACTCTGAGAAGCACCGGGGAAACCTAAAGCTCCCCGGCGGGCCAAAGGCCTCCCATTTGGACTGGAGAGCGACCACTGGAGGGGCGTTCATGAGGAACATCCTAGCAGACGGGTGGGGCTCAGGGGGACCGCGCTGTGTTCTCCTTGGGTTCACATCCTGGGACAAAGAGAGCACAGGGCACAAGGTCCAGGGACCAGCTGCACCAGCGGCCCCGGGCTCCTCCACTGCAAAAGGAGGCATTTCTTCCCTCTGGGCCAGGCCTGCTGAGAAGACCCAGAAAGAAAATGCCTCCACTCTCTGTCCTGCCTCCCCCTCGAGGAGGACTAAGGTTTTACCCACCTCAAAAGATTGTCAGGAGGTGCTGGTGTGACCAAGTCCAGACGTTGAAAAGAAGGACTATGACAAATCCTGGTGAGGGTGACTTCACAGGAAGAGTCATTCTTGGCAGGACCACCTCACTCCTGAAACAGAAAGGTGTGTGCCGTGAGCGGCTCAGAGACCGCTTCCCCAAGCTTCTTCCAGTTACTTCTACTAAGACCAAGACACAAATGTACGTCTGCTGGACGGTCTCAAGGACCCGAATCATTGTTTTAGCTACTTAGCAGGCTAGCCGCCCCGAACACCGTCTCACGCCCTCTCCACCCCCGCAGTCACTCCCAGGTGTTGGGGTCTCAGCTGAGCTGCTCCCAGCAACACACTGAAGGCCAGCTCACAGCTGGCCTTCTCGCAAAAGGTCAGGCCTTGTACTGCCCTACAGAGCATGATGTGCCCTGGGTGGCCAATGATGGCACGGCTGATAATTCTGACCCCATCCCCAAACTGAGGGCAGTGAGGTTCAGATGTGTGGGAGGCCCACTAGCAGACACTGGGCTCCCTCAGAAGGGTGCTAGGAAGCCATCACCACCCTAGGCCTCAGGAGCTGGGTGGGCTTGGCCCACACCTTCCTTGGCTTCCTCTGGATCCTGTGTACCAACTTTCTCGGTTTAGCTGGGAACGTCCTTCCCACAAGCATGTGATCTGGTTGTTTACACACCACACACCTTCCTCAAGAGAGGGRGGGCCAGGCGCCACCTCCCGGCAAAGGGGCAAGCGGTGGGAACAGGCAATCAGAGGGCATGCCGAATTCAGAACTGACTCACTTGCTATTACCAATCTGTGCTCAAAAAGTGAAACCAAAACGGAAGAATTTATTGCAATTACTTGAAATTCTCTTCGAGTCCAGGCTCCTGTTCAAAGGCTTCAAGGCTGCCTTCGTCACTCCGTGCTCAGGGAGAGGTGCCCTCTGCCAGCTGCTTGAACACACATTCCACTACCAGAATTAAGAGAATCAGAGACAGCTAATTCAGAGACTGCAGCTACAGTTCACAAATATTTTTCTGGAAAGACGTATCATTAACTTAAGAGCTCAGAGTTAAGTTCTGGAAGAACTTACCTTGAGACATTAATCACAGCTACTTTACAAAGCTCCCGGAGCTGAAAATGGGTGCATGAGCTGGCTAGTGCCTCTCAAGTTCTGGTGTCCACTACAGCCCTATTTCCCCCAAAATGTCGCCTCTGGAGAAGTCCCCAGAGGAAGCACTGTACTGGGCTGGGCTCTTTCACTGGGTAGGGGGCTTGTGCCCACTCTACTGTGGACATTATTCAAATTGCCAGGACAAAGCCACAGAAATGACAAAACATTTGCATGAGCCCTGGGCTGTGAAGAGTCTAAACCAAAAACATTAACTCCTTAAATAGCAATCCTGCCTTAACAAAGGGGCCCAGGGAGGGTGGGACCCTGGGGCTCCGGCCCTGATTTCCACTCCAGGTGCAAGCTTCGGCAGGGAGTCACGCACCTCTATCAACCAGTTTACAGCTTGTAAATGGTGCAGACAGAGCCTGGTTGCCCAGGGAAAAGTTTTCTGAGTTCTCCAACTACTTAGTCCTAGAAGGTTAAAAAGCCAAGAGAGCTCCAGAGATAGCCTGGATTTAAAACAGTCAGACAGGAGAGGAGTCATCTCAAGAACCCCGGCAAGGTGAGGTGAAGTGTGGCTTGGTCCAACTGCTACCATGCACCCAAGGGCCCTAGAAACTGGTCTCTAAGTGACTGCAGGGACACTAGCACCTGCAGGCCAAAGCCACCTGGTGTCAGATTTAAGAGCCAGTGGAAGGCATCTGGACATCCTCCTGGTCTAGACACCCACGCCCTGGAGAGAACAAAGCCACACTCAAGCCCTGGCCACCTAACTCTGTCCTCTACCTTCCAGAAACGGCCCCACACCAACACCGGGCTCAACTTGTGTTCTTACCTTCCAGGTGGGGCTTTTCCTAGGGTTAGGGGAAGCCAGGGTCTGCACGCTGGAGAGGAGAGGAGGAGCCCATCTGCTAGGGGGCCGCGGCAGGAGGGTCCTCTCCACCAACCTGAAAGGGGAGGGGCTGGAATTCAGTTGTAGCCGGCCCGAAGCCGAGACCAACCGGATCGCAACCCGCGCCCCGCCCCCAGCAAAACTGCAGCGATCCCGAGCCGGGCCGGAGGCGGGGGAGCCTCTGGCTGCTCCTGCCCCGCACCTCAGCCTCAGCGCCCGCTACTGGGCTCGGCTCGCAGCCCCGGGAGCCGGAGCAGCAGCCTGGCCCTCGGCCTGGGAGGCGCGGAACCTCCCCCGGGAGCGTCAGGCCTCCCCGCAGGTCTGCGCCCCCGGCGCTGCGCTCCGGCCTGCGGCCCGGAGCTCGGCTCCCTCCCGGAAGCTCCGCCTGGCGCAGGGCGTGAGCGCTGCCCTGGGGGCCAGGCAGACCCGGGTAGCCTCCGTCCCCGAGCGCCGCGGGCCTCACCTGCGCCTGACTCACCTGGGCCGGCAGGCGCCCGCCAGCTCCCGAGGGACGCGGGGCGCGCGCAGGGGCTGGCGGACGCGGGAGCTGCCTCCCGGGGCCGCGACCCTCGCCCGGGCGGGGACCCGCCCCCGAGCCCGCCCGCCCGCCGCGGCGCCCCCTCCCGCGAGCCCCGTCGCCCGCCGCGGCCTGTACGGCGCCGCCCCGCCTCACCTCCGCGGCCGCCCGCCGCGCCTCGCGCCCCGGGAAGGCGGCCGGCCGSGAGGCGCGCTCCGCCCTCGGCCCGGCGCCGGGAGGGGCCGCGGGGCGTCCGGCGGCCCGCGCCGCCCCGCGCGCCGCCGCCCCTCGCCCGGGCGCGCCGTGGGAAGCGCGGGAGGGCGGGGCCGGCGCGGGGGCGGGGCGACCCCCCCCAGCCGCCCCCTCCCCGCCACCTACCCGCGGCGGCGGCGGCGGCGGCCGCGCTCCGGAAGCCGTGCCCGGTGGCTGGGCATCATGGGAATGGCACGGCCGAGTTCCGGGGGAGGCGCGCGGCCCGGCCGGACCCCCGCCCGCGAGAGCGCGCCCACCTGCCGCCGCGCCGCGCCGGGGCCGCCAGCGCCCGCGCCACCCCTGCCGCGGCCCGGCCGCGTGGGCGCGCGCCACGGAGTGCACCGGTGGTGGGCCCGGGCTGCCTGTCCCCGGTTCCCGCTCGAGTCAGACCTCCGCGCGGGGACCCGGCCGTCGCCCTGTCCGCCGGGGCCTGGTGTGCGCCCTGCGCCGAGTGCGCGCAGAGCSGGTTGGAGGTCGGGCGCTGCGAAGTCCACCAAGGCGAGGGGTGTGGCCGTGGAAGAGCACGGGGAGGCCACTTGACTGTCGTAGTTAGTACTGTCCTAAGCTGCCGCGTTGCTAGGCGCTGCTTCGCGTCCCGGGTGCCTGGCACCTGCCCAGCCCGGCCTTCCCTTTCCGCAGGCTTCCAGAGATGCCGTGATGCCCTGCGCAGGTCTGCACAGAGCTAGAGTTGAGCCTGACCTTCCTGTGCTGGAAGCCTTCTGCGGGCGCCCCCCACGCTGCCGCTGCCTGCGCAGGCCTCCAGCTGTCTTCCGCTCCCTGTTGCTGAACGCTTCTGTGTCGCGCTCACTGCCACACACCTTAGCTTTCCTAGCCTCAACCCACACCCAGAGCCTGAGACTGGGCAAGTGACCTCCAGGGTCATGCACTTCAGGTGACCGGCTCTGCACGGAGGTCCTGTCCTATGTGTTTCTGCAGTTCACTGGCCATGGGACTCAGAAGTCCTGGGCTAGTTTCCTTCGCCTTATCAAATGGTCTGGAGATACCTGTCCAGGCTTGGGGTCACCCCAAGTGTCTCTGGTAATGGCAGGGAAGAGCCCGGTGCCCACTCCTGGAGCGGGCAAGGCACTGGGGGTTTGTTTCCTGACCAGAAAGTAGGAGATTGGATAGGGTCGACCCCAGAAAATGAGAAGGGGAGTTGGGATCAAGTTTGAGAGTCAAAAAACCCATTAAAATATTGTAATGCCTCAGCGTACAAGAAACAAGTTTTTTTCCTCATTATAAATTAATACTCTTGGGCTGGGGATGTGGCTCAAGCGGCAGCGCGCTCGCCTGGCATGCATGCGGCCCAGGTTCGATCCTCAGCACCACATACAAACAAAGATGTTGTGTCCGCCGAGAACTAATAAATATTAAAATTCTCTCTCTCTCTC